GGCTCTGTCCATATGATTAGCCTGTCCACCTCAACTCCGAGTCGCTCCCCCAATTCCTGTTCCTTCCCTTGTCTTTTACTGCCGTTCTCCCTCCAACCAACCAACCAGGTACTGACGACCACCACGAATTTTCAAGGTGCAATCAAAACGCCAGATGGACGACAGACACATAGCAACGAGGGTGTAGGGGTCGGTGAATGGCCGTAACTTGAAGGTACAGTTCTTGCGTCGAAGTCGAAGCCGTATTTGTCTCGCTCAGTCAGGCGCTTCGAAAGCTTTAGGATTGGGCGTAGCTATTTTGACACGGTCGTGACGCGGCCGTGACGCGCGTGTGACGAGCCTTGACGCAGCACTGACGCGCCATTCCTATATGTTCTACATTCGACTTCGAGTTCGTTGGGTGAGCTCACAACCATTACTATTTTATTTGCCGTAGGAACATGTACAACTAGGTACATAAGCCAATGACTATTTTCTTTTCCTCCCTCTCTGGACCCTTCGAGCCTGTGGAAGTCTAGTGATGGAAAAGTCCGGTTCGGTCCGAAAATGGTCCGGCTCTGGTTCAGTGAGGGTTCGAACCAAGAACCGGACCATCCAAACTATATATAAAAATTTCGTCAAGAAAAATTATATTGAAACATGCCCAACAACAGATGCATCATGTAAGACCAAATGCTACTTTCACTCGCTTAGTACTCGTGCTCAGCACTTGCACTCTCCTGGCTTGCATTGGCACCTGCATGTTCTGAATCAGACCCAGGCGTCATACAGGAGTACAATCGCAGCACGACTCATGAGCTGCCACCTCCAGACAATGTGAAGACTTTCTATAGCTTTCCTGTGTATGGTCTCATTTGCAATTGTGTATCTTTTGTTTTTGCATTCTTTCTCTCATTTTCCTTGATTTTCCTTCCTGAGCAGAGAATCACACATCTAAACAATGTCATAGTGATTGATCCTGGCTAATGCTACATGACCTCTGGTCCAACGACGTCCATCTGCTCGTCAGGTACCCCATGGTTTTTTCGATGGAGTCTCACCAGCTTACGTGTGTCATTGCTATCACTTCAATTTCATTTTCTTGACCTCTTTGTTCTCAGTCCTCTGCACAAGGCTGTTCCCACTCCTCAGAACCGCAAAGAAGCACACTTCTCAGGCATTTATTCCACCGCCACCACAGCTCATCCAGTGCCCATGATACAGTTACTGGTGATTCTACCCTGATGCATTCCGAACTGTTCTTTTTGCATTATGTACGATATGGATACCAAACATTTCATCATCTCCACCTATAAGTACTACACTTAAACTACATACTACTGACTTGCCATCAGTTTGAACAGGTTCTGCAATTCTGCACGTCCCCGAACTGCGGACCGGACCAACGGTTCAGTCCTCCCTATTGCCCGAACCTTGAACCGGACTTCGGTCAGGTTCGAAACGGTTCAGGTTCGAACTGTGGTTCAGAACTGGACCTGGCCATCACTATGTGGAACACATCGATGTTTAATTGGCAGACATTCTTCAACCAGCAGGAAAGGAACTACAGCTTCGGATAACTCCTCTGCAGAATCCAAAGATGTGGCATCAGAGTTATCACTGAATAAGGGGCTGTGCTATCAATTGCGCAAGTCAGATATCTATCAAATACAGCAGGTGATGTCTTCCTCACTTCAAGTTCACTCTCACTATAATCCCTTCCAGAAACCCATCCATCTGGCCTGCTAAAATATACATTCCATCGCCTGTGATGTTGGCCAGCATCCAAACCCCACTGTTGGTTGCCTGTAGGGATTAGCATGGGTATACCCCGGGGTATATGCATTGACACCTGCACCCACACCCACCAATATACCCACACCCATACCAGGGGTGTGGGTTTTCACGTGGGTACCGAAGATAGACACCCATACCCGTACCCATGGAGGGTATACCCGGGGGTGTCATTGAATTAGTACTATGAAAACAGCAATTGTAGCTACCCTAACTGTATTTGGTCCCATCCTTCCTCAAGTTCTAGCTCCTCGTCACCTACAACATCTGCGAGGTTGCTGACAGCTAAAATGTCTTCATTCTTCACCAGACCCAGCCGGCTCCAGTAACTTAAGCACAAGAGGGCACGAGTGGACTGCACATTTAAGCGAGAATGGACATGCGACAGGACAAGGCGGCCGTGGCTGAAGAGCCGCTCAACATCCACTGAAGTAGCTGTGATCAATGTTAGAAATCATTCGAAATGAGTAGGTTGCTTTTACCTTCTTTGGCCGTGTGCTGTCCACACTGGCACTGTCATCATTCTTTCTCTTTTTTGATTTGGCCTCGAGCTTCTCGTCAAGTGCAGCCTTGGCTTTCCCAGTTAGTTTGGTAATCTGTTTAGCGGCAGAATGGAAGGAGTTTGGCTGCATGACAGTAGCATGTGTTCGTGATTTAGAGTTTAGAGTTAGAGTTTGCAATACTATTTGTATGTCTTTGGAGCTTTGGAGTTGGTAAAATATATATCTGCTTACTAAACCCACACCCACAACCCATGTGGGTTTCATATACCCATGCTAATCCCTAGTTGCCTGCAGGTCCAGCTTCTTCAGAATCCTTGAACATCCTTGCTTCTATGGTGCACGTCACTTAGTCACCGCTACTTTTGTGCAGGCACCAAATTGATGCAAAAAAATTGTAACCCTAACCCCAAGTCCAAATTAGGCTGGGGCGGGAGGAGCAGCTTCGATGTTAGCATAGCTATGGTCAAGACTGCGAGCTGAACCCAATCAAATTTTTCTGGGGCCAGGTTAAGAAGTATCTTTGCGACAATTGTGATTACACATTCGACACGTTGAAGAAGAACATGCCACTTGCACTCGCATCTGTATCCATCAACATGATCCAATTATGGCAGCATCGGATGTTTTGGTGGATGGAGGCATACAGGTCAGGTCTTACTACCTGAGATGCTCAGTTGCGGGTCAAACAATTCAGTTCTGCACGCTATAAATCACACAGACAAGTTCCCGAAACCGTAGTGAGAGTCTTTGATCATGTATAGCTATATTTTGTAGGGATGCGCCAAATTGACCTCCATGAAAAAAAAAACTCCCTCAAATTTAAGTATTATCAAAATCCGTCTGGAGGTTTTGTTCCTTGGGCAAATACAAGCATTTTGGCAAGAGGGATAAGATTTCGGGTGAAATCTCGAGGTGCTAAAGATGCTGCACAAAAGTAGTGGTGACTAAGTGACATGCACCATAGTGCAGTCAGACACTTGAGGTTGACATCAACCATGAGGCTGTTGGTAGGATAGCTTATCATGAGATCAGCCCAAGCCATCTTCAACAGCATGCTCTCGTTCCATTCTTCATCTCAAGCTTTGATACATTTTTCGAAATCACCAGGGATAAGTCAGATGACACACCTGAACGGTCATAGCAGGGTATGAGGTCCCCAAAACTTGGCAGTGAACCCGGCTGATCTGGATAATTTTGATTTTCTGTCTCATTGGGATAGAAAAAGTTGAATATATGCTTGATTAATTCCTAAAGGATGGTTATAAGAAGTGCACTCTGTATTTTAAAGGACTCACAAAGGTCATGATACAATTTACAAAAGTGCGATAAGAGTTTTTTTTCTCTGAGCTATAGGAGAAAAAACATAAAATATTCCAGGACCCTTTTAAGGGTACTGGTTTAATGATTTTTTAAATTAACAAACCTTATATCAATCTTACTGGGGTTGGCGGCCTGCCTTTGTCCATCCTTTTTTGGATGACTTGATTTGTCCGCTTTGCTGAGCCTTTTGTCGTGCCATTTCGGCTCCTGTTTGTGAGCCTCTTGTAAATATTTGGTATCCTGAAGTTCCTGACATTGTCTCTTTCCTTTTTCTTTATCACAAAATTTCATATGGCAGCTACTTCGTCCTCTTCTGCTCTGTCCCCCACTGCTTTGGTTCTACTTGTCTTTTTGGTGGTGTCTGACCAGGAAATTCCTGATGACAGGTCGTCAGTCATCTCATTGTGCATTTTACACAAGTTTTTTGAATTTCTTGAGGTTTCTCGAGTTCATCATGCCTTATGTGAGCAGTATCAGGTGGGACATATTCTGCTGATCGTTGCTCCTGCTTTGCACCATGTTTTGGACAATTTTCCTTACATGACTCACGATAATTATGTTGTTATCGCTGCTGCTCACTTTGTTCAAGTATGGTCATCCGACCGGAAGGACTACCTACATGACTTGTTGCAAGTTCACTCATGCGATTCTCAGTGTCTTAATAATTTCCTTGTCTTTTCACTTTTGAAGAACCCCTGGCATCATTCTGCGCATCTAATGTTGCCTGATCTTTTCACGGTTGTTTTGCAGTCAACTACTCGTCAACAATATGTCTGCTTGAAACCTCTCACAATAGATTATGAGGAGACCAAGAATCAGCATGACACCTTCCCGCTTTTGTTGTCTTTGATGATAAGAAAGTTCTACTGTAACCTCACCGTCTATGACAGAAGAAAAAAAAGCTGCCTGTATTCTGCATTGGTTGCAAGCATCCACCAAATTTCTGAGGGGAAGTATTGGATACAAGTTATGTTGTTGTAATGAGATACGTGCATTAATAATAAAAATTGCACACCAGCAATTTTGTGACTGTCAATCCTCATGATCTTACCAGTAGTGTAATTCCTGTGCTTGCAGGTATTGAATTAGAAGAATCGATGGTGATGAGTTCATTTGAACGGGACAAATTAGTTGCTGCGAGGCCAGATGCTGCTGCCATTGCATTCAATTTACAAATCTAAGCATTTGTTGTCATAATAGTGAGCAAACATGGCCCTGGTGCGTTTGCTCATTGTCAGGCATATTATGGGATGGTGGAGATGCAAGGGAGAGGCACATTACATTGACATATGCTTCTCTGGATTGTAGGAAATCTGAGTCCTCAGGTTTTGTGTGACAGGATGGCAGAAGATGATGATTTCAAAGGTGCTATGTTTGCTTTGTTAGAGAATATTATTAGTTGCAAGTTACCATATGATAAGGGCCCCATAACAAGGGCAACAGAAGAAGGAGATCCTCATATGGAAGAACAACTGCAGTTAGCGACATTGGACGAGCTGTCATTTGAACATGAATTCATGCAATTCTTGAATCATTTAGTAGTTGAATGCAACTGGCACATTCATAATGATATGTGTTAGAAACATTTAAGAAGTGGAAAAAAATAGGAGACACTAATTGTAGGATGTGTTTAGATGGTAGGTTGCAGGAAGAAACAGTCATAGACAAAGAAACTGGTTCTATTGAACTTCAGTGGTGGCATGGTCAAGTCAACAATTACACAGACTTGATTTTATTTTTATTGCAATGTATAGGGAATCCTATCGCTCTGATGCTGGATGCTCGCTAGGACTAACATATCAACCATTGTGACATAGTACACACTGCCTTCTTGCATGTTTCCTTTTTCGTTTCCCTTTGTCTCTTTTATTTTGCTATCTCTACCCTTGTCTCACTCTTATCTCTTTATGCATTCATCTCAATAATGCCTTTGCTCTGCTTAACACTACTTTCCTGCCCTTAGATGCCACTTGTCTGCCTTGCCACTCACATTCATATATATAGCCATGTACTTTTCATATTAGAATCATTGAATTACCATCTGTTTACTGTCCGTTCTACAGTACATCACGCCTCAACTCCCACTCTCAAGAACTCAATGCACCTTACATATTGGAGCCCATCACAAGGGGAAGCAAATAAATCAAAAAAAAACTCTACACAACCACGACACACTTGTAGCATACCTCAGCGATCAATACTCCGCAGACAACTGGGAGGAACCCCGACATCTGTTGTTCTCTGGTGACACAGATGACACAGAATCCTTAAGGAACCTGACAACACTGTGGAGAAGGTATATACCAGATCCAGCAGAACACACTTCTGTGTGCATGCCTGCATCAAGGACGGACAGTGCCTTGTCAAGATTACACATCCAAAAATCACACAAGATTTCTAAAGTAAGTCAATGTTTTGACTAATGTATTTATAAACTAAGTCCATGTAGGCTGCACACAAGTTTATTGCCGACCAGGCTGAAGAGGATGAGGAAGATGAAGATAGTGGCAGTCTGTGTGTTCGCTGGAGGCTATATGCTTGCCAGGACCATTGGCCAAAGAGAGGTTGGCTGCAGCCTTTGATAACATGGCTTCTAGGTTCGAAGACAATTCCTTGATCTCATCTAAAGATCGTTGGGACCCTTGTACCCACAGAGCCCTTCAACAAGGCAGGATGTATCTGCTGCATGTTCAAAGTAGTTTATTTTATTTTATTCACGTTATACATCACTCACTGTATCATAGGAACTACCACAGAATATATCGCTGAACATCTTTGAAAGAAGGGATTTTCTGTCACTGTTTCAGCTTGGCTTGCTGGCCAGCTGTACGTGGTGGCAGATAGCCCAAAAGCAATCACAGAATCTCTGTCCTCCTCGCTTCATCTTGCCATGAAAGATTATACTTGCATTGCAGAGGAAGAATGTGAAGCAGTCAAATGCATGCAATTCCTAACCTGGCGTGGTTGAGGATTAAAAGCGGCGAGTACAGGGGCTATGTAGCACAAGTCTTTGAGCACTTACTGAATGGTGTTGTTGTGGTACTTGTTGTTGCATGCCACTTCCCCTATCCCATGCCTCAGGGATCTAGAGCGCTGATCGAGTGTTCCCGCCTCCCAAATAACACAACAGTTTCCAACATCATTCAGGATGACAGTGTAAAGAGTAAATATCCGCTGGGCTCAGCAGAAATGGTACTACCTAGACAACAATATTTAGGTAGATCTCAGCACGACCTATGCTGCTATACTTGCAAGCAAGTGTGTTTGATCCTAAAGGGATTGCTAATTGGTATTAGTAGTATAAATGCATCAGTAATGCAATTAACAAAATGTCCAAAGCTGTGAATGATGTCCGAAGCCAAAGTGCAATATCCAAGATTTCAGACTTTCGTACTTCACAATAATAGGTTAGAAACTGTATAACAAGTGTCAGATTGCAAGTGGTATGCACAAGTATAACGAGTGACGGAGTATGATGGTAAATGAACGGTAATATTTTGCAATGCAACTAAGAACTACAAGAATATTCTGGGTGATCCACAGAGTCGGGAAATGGCTCCTAACTACTGGATATTAATTACTACGGGTCACTACAGAGTATTTAGGTAAGTACATAGAAATCTGGAATACTACAGGTGAAGATAGTAGCGATATTTGTTGGGTCCAATGTCCTATGTAATAAGACACAAGGTGCTGCGAACATGTAATAATGCGGTCCGAATGTCAGAAAATGTGCTCAGGAATAACAATGCACCTAGTGAGGCTAGTTCGGAAGGACAGGACACGGGATGGACAAGTGCGCATGAAGTGCAATTGGCTGATGCGATGTCCAAAGGTCCAATGCAGAGTGGCTCAGACATGTGCAGAAGTGTGTTGGACATGTGCATGTATGTTTCAGGTGTTGACATGAATATGAAAAACTGTGGTTCCGAGCCCAGCGCCGCGACCATCGTTACAACGGAGTAGTCAGATGGAAATATAAGGGCAAGAGCTACTACATGGGTCTCCTTCTGAAAACCTTTCATCGCAATTGACTAGAACTTATCACATCACCTCACACTGATGACATTCGTCTCCACCTGGACTCCGGATGGAACCCACCCTTCATTCAAGCATCTCTGGCTGCATTTTCATTGCAGTTCCTGCACGTAGGAGATTGGACCAGGGTCATCAAGGGTTCTCTTTGCAGTGAGCTTGGTCAGGTGATATTGACTGACCATACCCTTGGGACCCTGAGTTTGCAGTCTGGCTTGGATGAACGTCTGAAAGAGATGAAAGTTTATCTGCAGGACGTAGAATGTGTCTTTTGAGTCAGCGATACTGTAAGAGTGGTGGCCAGCTCCTACTTTGGTTTGCAAGGACACATTATCAAAATGCACAGCGACACATTTCAAGTTTGTCAAGATACTACAAATGAGCAGGTAATTTTGTCGTGCAATTTAATATTTGACAGTCTAAATCTTGGTATGTATAGGTCAAAGTGTCAAGATACTGCTTAGATCAGTCTCTTGAAACACACAGTACAATCACAGCTACCTATCCAGCAGCACTTCAACCCCCCCCCCCAAGCATCGTTGACTGGTTGTCGAAGAAAGACACAAAACTCTGGTTCCGGGATATTTTCACTATGGACGACACTGAGTGCTCCGGCAAACTGTCAAGTATCTCAGTTCCCATAGCAATAGTTCAGCGGACAAGTACCACACAGACAATTCAATTCACAAAGGAAAGGGGATATAACATTAGACCTGGAGACATTGTTACTGTTGCCCGTGGGCCCGAGTATGAGGAAAAAGGAGTTGTGCAAAGTGTTGACTTCCCAAATGCTCGTCTGACCTTGCTTTGTGATGGTGATCACTCACTGGCAAGTACCATTAACTTGTACTAGGACATCTCTAACTTGTAATAGATCAATGTTCCAATCAGATTTGCGGCGAAAATATGGAACACTGACTTGGATTGTTTTAAGAAGCATATTGGACAAGAAGTTTTCATTATTGGGGGTGACCTCAAGGGCTAGTGAGGGACACTTCACAGTATTGACCATGAAGCTTGCGTCATTGATCAAAAAAAAACTCAAACAGTGGTAAGTCCTCAATGGAGCCATTACAATCTCTGCTAATGTCATTACAGGCTCACTACCTTGGTTGATGACCAGGGAGTTTGCTTCTAAGTTTTTCACGTATCATGCAATGTTGAAGGTTTTACCAACATTTGATGCTTCGCTCTCCAAGCAATTTGTATCCACAACTTGTCCTGACCCTTTTTGTGGCAAGAATGGACCAGCCCCAGAGGGATTCATCGCAGCCTACTGTACATCAAACAATACAGGAGCCATCACAAAATACTATCATATTCCTGCCATTTATTTGAGTCCCGCCTTTCCATGCAAGAAAAACCAAGAATGCTTGATTCTGGACAGGCCTCATCGCGGACTCATCGGAACTGTAGCAAAGTGCAGCATCAAGCACAGCTCTGTGGATATTAGTATTATGCCTACTGCCACTGCAACTTTGCATTTCAACCAGATATGTCTGGTGGAACCGATGCAATAGAATATATTCAGTATGATAATTATATTTTGGGGACGATCTTACAGTACATATACCTGGAACTATATACCCATACCCTAGCCATGCTTTCTGATACATGGGCAAGAGAGGATCAACATGTATTTAATTGGTTTCTGGTAGAATTCAATTATATACTGCTCATACTGTAATTCCACGTTGTGGTTACTGTACTAGTATCATGTTCATTCATATTGAAATCATTCTGTGCATTCAAAGTATCGGTATACTAAGTATCACACTACGGTCCTTGTGTTGTTGAGGTTGCTACAGCACAATGAAGGAAGGTATGTACTCATTCATGTATGATTCCTATTGCTGTGGTCTAATACTTTATGTCCAGTTACTTTTTGTTGCTCTGCACTTGGTTTACCGAACGCAGCATTATCACCAAAGCAGGCTCACAACCAGGGCGGGGTTGTCATCTCAATGTCAGCCGCCTAGCACCCTCTTGACATCCACACAGCGAGTGAAGCAACAGTGCAGTCACCACACATCACATTGTCTTGTGCTGGTTCTTTGCCATGCATCTCCCCCACATGATCAGGTTCAGTGTTCTTCTCTCATGTTTCCATGTATTTTGATCCTGATACTTGCATAGTGCATCTAACTTGACAATGTGGTATATTTTTTTATCTTAGCGCTGTGGAAGACAAGGCCGGCGCTCATGGGTTCTCAACTATGGACAATGTGAACTATACATGCAAGGGCAGCTCGTTGGAGTGTTAGAGTGTGTTTTTGGTTTAGCTCCCTGTACTCCCACTGCTGATTCTCTTCTCCCTCGATAGATTTCACAACATTCATTGGTGGTCAAGAACCGGTTCGAAATTCTTACTTTCCAAAATTGAAGAAAAACACATGGGTATAGTAGCATCTATTTCGCACCCCCTTGTACTTCATCCATGGTGTCCTCGAGCCAATGTTGTCTTCACACAGATTCCTTCACAAAGTGATTATTTACCAGTACATACAGTTCACCCAAAATTTTCTATTGCTTGATATTAGCAGGGCGCTAAATGACAGCAGAGTTTGAATATAGTCATTCACTATATCAGCTTGGTATTTGCATTCAGTCTACCTCTTTTCCTAACTTCCATCATCCATTTTGGTGTAATTGGTGTAATATATTTATGACAGTTCCTGTCTTACTTACTCCTATGACTATTGTTACTTTACTTTCATCACTTTACTTTACATGCAGTACATAGTTCATATAAGTAGTGTGATAGTAAGCTGAGCACATTGCAACGTTGACATTACTTTTGTGATCAGCCATATTCTAAAAAATGCACCACCCATTCAACATAGACATGGTAAGTGTATCGTTAAATATTCAATACACAATCTAACTAAAACCTAAATGTATATGATATAGCGTGTTTGGTTGCACTTAGAATCTCCACCAGGCCTTTTCCTTGCAAACTGATACACCTGCAGATTCACACCCACATTCTCTCCCATCATGGGCATTCATGATTCCAGCTCCAAGAATTCTGGAAAGGAATCAGGAGATGGGGCATTTTCTGGAATTTGATCAAGGTCAGGCACCTCAATCCCATCCGGCATATGGCACTTGAGGTTGTTTGGTGCGATAGTAATTTTCTAGCCATCTATACCTGTATGTTTTCATCTGTTCTGAAAGGAACTTGATGTGAGTTTCTGTGTTCCTTAACTGTTTCTGCATATGGTGCAGCTGATATTCTAGTACTTTGCTTTTTGAACTCTCATTGGTACCTATTCGATATTTTTCAGACCTGCTGCACAGATATCTGGATGGACAAATTGTACCTGTTGTCTGAGTTCCACAATGGACCTCTGGGTGAAACTCATCTCCATCTGAGCTTCTTGTGTGTGTCGAGGGAAGCTGAAAGCTAAAGATAACTCTAAATTTGGTACCACATGCTATGCTGAAAAGCTCACTTTAGTATAACATGGCTTCTGATGTGGACAGATTGCCACAAATGCTTCTGAGTGGGTGAGCCTGTCATCCAAGGTCCAATTGCTACAATAGTTGATGCAGTGTTGTAGGCTTGTATGTACATGCGATGACAGCTATTCTGTGAGAGGAGATGCTATATTGTCATCAGTATATATGGCTCTAAGATGATAAGGTATATTCTTCTTTACAAAATCTATGGTGCTTGGATGGTGAGGCTCCTTTTGGTTATATTCTTGATGGCGCTCGAATGACTGATAGATTTTTTTTATCTTTACAATATCTATGGCACTCGGATGGCAAATATTTTTTTATTGTGTGCCATTGGACATTTGAGTATATAAACCCTCTTGTCTTGTATCAGAATCAATTAGCTCAACTCATGAGTGGCGACAAGAATAATCCCCCTTCCGGTGATCCTTTGCGCAAGTGTAGTGCTTCAGCACATTATACAGGCCCACAGAAAAAGGCCTCAGTGTTCTTAAGTAATGATTCACAATTTCCTGACATCTTTCATCAGGACTTCTTCAAACCCTCTTGTTCTTCACAGCTGACATTTTGGTCGAACTGTTTTTGCCCTGTGTAACTATCCCGCCCTTCTTACTGCCAGTATACTCCAACTAGAAGAATTACAGGATTCTCTCATTGATGATTATCCAGCGGAGTGAGCATAATTTTGACAATTATGCTTTGCATGACTTGAGCTTACTATCATTTATAGTGTTCAACACGATCATAGGGTTTTCATGGAACTAATAGATTCATATCCTAGTCTTTTGGATCACCTGACGAATGGCAAGGAGGAGGATGTCATTCATGTAGGAGGATTGGTAAGTTTGATATTCTTGACTCACAGAGAATCAAGTCTGACTGCGGGTTCAACCATGAAATCACTGGTGCCTTGCTTTGCCCAGCAGGCCTTGACTGGTCTCATGCAGAGTGAGCAATTCTATCAAGTTATTAACCGAACATCATAACACTACCTAGAACCAAGCAGAGTCTGAATAGCGGTGAAACTATGGTCCATGGGGACCAGTGGCCTGTATTCTTGTATGCTGGGTATGAATATGATCCTGAAGATCCCTGGAAAGGCTTACTCAGGAGCGAGATACTCATTTTTGTAAGATACTTTTACTAGTGATCAATTTTAAACTCCCAACAATTTACATTCATAAAGTTTCAAACATGTTTTTACATCTCCAAGCTCGGTCGATAAGGAGCCAAAGGCCACATGCTCTGGCAACGCTTACCTGCACAACATGAAATGTGTGACTCAGGATCCCTAGCTTATGTTGCGATGCAGGTACGCAAATTGAATCACATATACCTTTCCCTACTGACTTTTCCTTCAGGTTCGGTTTTCTTTGAGTTTGTTGTTCGTGTTTTCACATACCGACACAGTCACAGACTCCGAAAACTTTTACCATAGTATTCTTGACTTGTTGGAAGATCCTGATGAAAGTGAGGAAGTGAATGACTTGATGACATTGTGGACATGGTTTGTGACCTCATTCGCTTCTATTTCTAAGTTAACGCTTGTTATAAATGGATTTTTCCAAATTCTTCTTCGTCACAGCGCACAATCAGCAAAAACAGTGCACTATCTAAGATTTGGGAAAAATGTGCTGCCCTGCAGGAACAAGCTACTGCCAATACCAATTAGTTTTTACATTTTCATAAATGTATTGTATCATAATTTGATGTGCTCTTCCAATGTCGAGTTATTTGAACAAAATATCTCAGTTCAATGAGGCGAGATAACTCATTGTCAAAGCTCAAATCAGTGTCATCGGTAATAGCTCTTGCCATTGGAAACAGCCCTCATAATAGTAGATGTACTCAGTTGAAGACCAACATGTTGATATGGCTTGATAATTCAGTGTCACAGTGTTGTTGTTGGTAGCTCCTGCCATCAGAAGCTGCCCTTGCAATGTTGCTCACCTTGATAGGGGCTTGCTAATTGAATGCTATGCCCTGGCACACTGTCACTGATTATACATCTGACAGTATACTAGCATCATGATAACCTAAGCTCGTCCCCCAGAAGATTGTCATTGATGGTGGCTTCTGCAATTGGGATCTACCTATTCAAAGCTAGATGTCCTTGGTAGAAAATGAGCAGCTTGATCAGCAATGACAACTCAATATCTAACCATGACACTTTGCCATCAATTCTAGTGTTTGACATCAAACTAAAGCTAGACACAATTGATGGTACATCAGCATCTTGAATAGGCATGATAATTTAATATAATTCAATGTCATCCCCTGGCATACTGTCAATGATTGTACACCTCGCCACCGGCAGCTGCCCCTGTAACATCAGATGTAATTGACAGTACATCAGCATCTTGATATGACATGGTAATCTGATATCATCCTCTAACACACTGACATTGATGGTAATGTCTACAATTGGAAGCTGCCTATCCAAAGCTAGACATACTTGGTATGGCTGCACACCGTACCATATACAGTAGACAGCTGTACACATACGGTAGAGGTATGGTAGACAGGTTTACCATCTACCGTACATAGTATTGGCGGTGGACCAAGCGGACGGTATGGTACAGAGTATTATACGGACGTATACGGTGATGTATGGTACATATGGAATGTTAATCAACTATGAACAAGCTCATTTAATGCCAAACGAGCCAAGCAAAGCCTTGCCTTCACGAGCATCAACATTTTGATAGTCTCAGGCTTGAGACTTGCACGTCGCAGTGAGATTGTGTCGCGACCACCGGAGAAAATTCGTTCAACAGCAACAGCAGATCCTACAAAGAAGAGAACTAAGTACAGACACCTGGAACATGAAGTGAGTACTCACCAGGTATTGAAAGGACATCATGGGCAAGTCGAGAGAGGTTTGGAAACTGTGCTCGGCGACCCACCCACCACTGAATGGGGTTGCAAAGGTCAAAGTCCTCTTGCGGAAGTTTTAGGTACTCCTCGAATTCATCTACCAAAACATTTGACCGCTTCTTGTACCTCACCGTGAAATTCATCTTTGAGGGAGAATTTCTACCATCAGACACATTTGTGTGATGGCCTGTGCTGGAAGACAGCGATGATGCACTGTCCTGCGCAATGGATGTAGTGGCATAGTCTTTTTTATACAGGGCATGTAGGTCATTCTTCAGTGAGTTGATTTGTGACTGTGTACTTGCATCATTGGCATCACAATCATCATGGAGACCTTCGTATATGAGGCTGTAAAGGTACCGTTGACGGCCGTATGGAATATGTCTTGTACAGTGTATGGTCTGGCCGTACACCATACCTATTGACCTCCCTTTGCATGTCCACCGGTATGGCAACCGTATCCATCGACGGCCACCGTACAAACCGTCTATGACGGTGACAGTGTGCAGCCCTAATACTTGGTTGATGACGAGCATCTTTATAGAGTATCATAAGTCAATATCATTACCAGTCACATTGTTGGTGATTATACATTGTGTCATTGGAAGCTAGCTATACAACAGTAGATACATCTCCTAGCATCAGTAAAACCTTGACTTACTTAATCCACCTTTTTTGGACTTTCCAATGGTTTTCACATCTTTTCACTTCTTTTCAAAAATGAGTGGCCTTTTTTTCAATTATTTTTCTGAATTCACTGTTTGGTCCCAACTTGAGTATCAGGAATAGTTTATCATTATTGTTCCATACTATTACAATGATAGGAATTCACAATTTGGAAAGATTACCACTTCAGGAGAGGATTTGAAAATGAAAATAAATGAAAATAATCAGCACTCTGTGCCACTTACTGGTGACAACTTTCTTTTTTTATGTTTCTAAACATGTCTCTTATGTTTATAAAACATATTGGAACACATGAATTTGGATCAGGCAGTGAATTAAGAAAAACAATTGAAAAAAGGCAGAAAAGATGTGAAAAGTTCAAAAAAGTCTGATTAAGTAAGTCGAGGTTTTACTGATGTAATAGCACACCAGTGTGCTAGTAGATTGCAACTTTGTACCATAGGCCTAACAGTATTATAGCTTAGGGAGATCCCACCAGTGTAGGCTGCCTATCTATTCCTTTATCATGTGATCTACAATTGTGATATATATTTTCAATATTATACATTAAATAAAGCTAGCTAAATCTTTGCCAAACTGCATTCGAATCAATGTGCACGGGCCATCATGGACATCAGCTAGCAGCTCCAAGATGGTTGAAGCGGCGTCTAAATGGAGGATGCCATTGGCACCACCTCCAGCGATGGCAGGTGGGCATATAAGCAGCATTCCAGGAGATTGTGACAGCCGGTGGGTAGCGGGCGAGTGATGGGCGGGATTGAAGGAATATTCACACGGTCGCAACCACCTGATGTTCCCACATACCTGATCTAATTAGACATGACAGCTGGGCCTGATGGCAGGTCTTATTCGACTGGTTTTTAGCTGTACCCACCCAAATGAATAATTACTCGATAATTCAAAGCCTTTGAGTGTAGCAAATACTTACTGCTAGTGTAGGGAGGTAGTGTAGAGCGTCAGCAACTTTGGCAACCTACTCCCGGTGTGCCTGTGAGCTATTTTAGGATATGCTGTTCATTAATGGAAATACCGCCGGCAGTCAAAGAGCCACGTCACCGCCAAGCTCGCTGTCTGGCACAGCGAGCTCGAGTATCTCGCCACTACATCCATCAATTGGGGCTGGATATTTTTTTACAGGTAGAAACTGAACTTATAAACTAGTATTGGGTCAAATGAGGGCCTTATGTGTGCTACATTAACATGAAATAAACAACTAAACCTCGTCGTCACTTGTGTCCTCCTCATCACTTGTGTCTATATATTCTACGCTTTTTGGAGCCTGTGTAGACGACCCTGAAGCTCGTGCTTGATTCCTCAGAGGTGCATTCTCCTTTCCCTTGCACTTGCGTGGCACACCAGCATCAGCACGCTTCTTGTGCAGCTTGCCAATGACTTCTCCTTTCTTTCGGTGCGCTGTGAGTTGGGCAGCATACTCCTCCCTTTGACATGGGGACATACAAACCAAGTGGCACGATCCATCCTTCAGTGCATCACGGACCTTCAATAGGGCCTTGAGGTTGTTTATACTGGTGGGGGACTGGAACGGCACACCCTCAGGCCAGCCCTTGAGATTGATTGCAAGTTTCTCCTTCATGGCAGTATCGAAGTTTGTATAGTTGATGCGGATGTTGCGCCGCTTAGCTATAGTCCCTAAATTTGCAGTAGTTAGTAATTGTTCTGGTGTGACAGAGGAAAGCAATGTACTTAGCCCAGAATTGAGGAGTCGCGTACAAACACGTTGCATATTCTGTACCGTCTCGTGTTCATCGATGTCTAGTGAATTAGAATATATAAAGCAAAGGAAAGAACGGGAAAAAAACATACTTCGACCTGCCATACATGCCCATTGTTCCAGTTTCCGTGCGATTTTGTCAGCCTTTGTTTGAAGGACATCCTCCCAGAAGTCCATGACATTATCTGTTCCAAACCACATTGCTTGTGCAGTATCATACACATGTCCACGGGAGGCGAAGAGGCAGGTGTAGATTCCCGTTCGAAGGGCGAGACCATCAAGCTATAAATCTGTTAACTAACATTAAACAAGGTGCTGCGTTGAACCCACCATCTTGAAGACGTTATCTAATGTTGACTGAACGTCTCGGGCTGCTGCAGTGTTCGTTGCGCGAATACTCATGTTCTGGAGGGCACAGCGTTCAGTGAGTTTGTTGATATATTCTTGCTGCTCCTCGTGAACTAGGTTTTGCATACTCTCGTCCGCCTTGACCATTTCTCGAATCTCATCAAGTGAATACTTGGTGCCACGAGGAAGATCTATTGTTTCAATAAGCAGGTTAATATCATACATGCCAACACCTCAAGGCACAAGACTGACCTGCATTGACCTCTTGTGCTTTTGCATGTATCAATGCATTGGCAAGCTGCGCGTTTCAGCTCTCTTTGTAGTACCTTTCACCTCCCATAAGTTTCTTCACCTTGTCTTGAGTGACACCATGTTTGGATGTGATGGCCTCGATACTGGCATTTTGTTCTGCAAGTAGCTGTTGGATGGCACCGGTGAGCGCATCTTCAGTCTCCTTGCATTGTGCAGCCGAAATTTTTTGTGATGCTCTTCGTGCATTGGCTTGTGCCTTCTGTGCAGCGTTAAGTGGGGCTTGGGACATCAAAACAGGCCAATTTGGATTCCTAGCAGCCAATGATGAGTTGTTCGCATCAACAGGGACTTCTGATGTGCCAGTCTCCACATGAAAATTGAGTAGTGCCCCCTCGTTGTTGTCTTGCTGTCTTGAGTGGTCTGAAATGATGCATTAGTAATCTGAAGTGATGCGATGGAGGCCCACACCATTCAAATTCTCCACTTTGTGTCCAGCAGGCAGAGTGACGTGTTGATGGCATGGGACGCGTCTGACACTTCGTGTCCAGCGGGTAGAGTGGCTTGTTGATATGTGTTGTCAGCACGGGACGCGTCTTCGTGTCCAGCGGGTAG